CTGGTGGCCTAGTGGCAAGAAGCTGCACTGCAATTCCAGAGGTACGTGGTTTGAGTCCACCAGACGCTCTTCTGGAGAAGGAGGGGCAGTCTCCTCCTGTACCTGTCAGATCCAATTTGACGGTACATGCACAAAAAATAATAAAATAAAACATTAAAAATTTTTTTTTAATTCCTTCTTGTATATTTTATTCCCCACTCTCCAGTCCACCCTGCATTACACCCCTTATTCCAGATTGTTTGCATACATATAATGTATAGTCATATATTTCTTTCGGACAGTTCTTCCTCTGATCTGTTCCAATGCAGTGTTCTATTCACTTTTCTCCATAAAACTTTTGTGTTCTCAATTTTTAAATTCTTCTTACTGTATTTACCTTTAAATTTCTTTCAAAGATGTCTTGGTGTGGCAGAGTGGGCTAAGTGTTAAACCACTAAATGAAAGATCAGCATCTGGAGCTAACCAGCCACTCTCAAGAGAAAGAAAAGGCAGATGGCTGCCATAAAAATGTATAGCCTTTGCGCCACAACAAGATAAAGGTAAACAAATGGATTGCAAAATGGGCACAGGATATGAACAGACACTTCACCAAAGATGGCATTCAGATGGCTAACAAACACATGAAGAAATGTTCAAAATCCCTAACTCTAAGAGAAATGCACATCAAAACAACTATGAGATATCATCTCACCCCAGTAACAACAAATGCTGGCAAGGTTGTGGAGAAACTGGAACCCTTATTCACTACTGGTGGGAGTATAAAATGGTGCAGCCACTATGGAAAGCAGTATAACGCTTTCTCAAAAAGTTGGAAAGAGAAATACCATTTGATCCAGCAATTCCACTACAGGGAATATACCTTAAAGAAACCATAACTGCCACCCAAGCAGATATATGCACACCCAAATATACTGCTGCTTTGTTCATAATAGCAAAGAGTTGGATACAACCCAAGTGCCCATCAACAAATGAATGGATAGGGAAGTGGTGGTATATTCACACAATGGAATATTATGCAGCACTAAAAAAACAAAGAACTCTGGAAATTTTATACAAAATAAGTGACCATGGAGGACATTATGCTGAGTGAAATATCTCAGTCACAAAAAGACAAATACTGCATAATGCCACTGTTGTAAGAGACTGACATGAGGGTTGGAGGAAAACTAAGAAAAGAGATGATTAACAATGTACACAGAATTTTAACAGACGAGGGAGAGAACTATATAAAAAAGAATATATGATTAGGTATTATTGGCATGACAAGAGTCCAGAATAAAAGCTGCACAGTAAAGTGGACTTGGGAATGGGGGGGATGACTATATTTTTTTTCAAAGAAAAAGGTGAACTAGGGGGACGGGGAGTCAGGGAGGAAAATGTCCAACAATGAATCAATGGAAATCCAAGTCTCTATAAATTTTTACTTCATCAACTATGGTCACTATGAGCTGAATTTGTCTTGACCGCAGTGGATATAGTAGGTAAACTATTTTTAGCTATTAAATCACCTATTTATTTGAACACTGGGCTTTCCTGGGAAGGAGATCGAAAAATAATCTGAAGCCTCGAAAATTTTTATTATAAGGTGTTAGTTTATTTAATTGTATTACTTCATCATATGGTATTTGTCCTTAATTTGTCCCACCACTTGTGAAGTGTGAAGTCTAGGAATACACGTAAGTTAAGAACAACTCTGAAAAACCAACTGGTAAAAGTTATGTTTAATAGAAGTCAATTAAGACCTTCTACAGGCTGGGTGACAACTTGCTAAGAAACAGTGTGATAAAAATAAATCGGTTCCAGAAAAGCAAAATAGATATTTAAGTATCATTAACTTTGAATTAATAATACGGCAAAACAGAAACAAGCTTCTGACAAATTTGTCTAACATAGTGGCCCTGTTTTCTTATTCCTAAATCTAGCTCACATAACACTGCTAACTGGGCAATTGATACTACATTCTTCTGTTTTCCTCCCATCTCACTGACTATACTCCATAACCTCCCTGATTGCTTTCTCCTCAAATCCTACCTCTGAACACTAGAATGGTTCCATGACTCAATCCTTGAGCCTTTTTGCTTTTCTTGCTACACTAACTCCGTTAAGTAATTTTACCCAACTTCAAGCCTTTAATGTGTATCTACTGCCCACACTTCCACCCTGAGCAATATCTTGCCTATTTTACATCTCCATTTGACTATCTGTCTAACTCCAAAATGGAACTAATCTTCATAAGCCTGCTTCTCCATCAGTTTCCTATTTCAGTAAAGATAATTTCTGATAGATGCTCAAAGCTGAAAATCTTGGGAGTCGTCTTTGATACATTTTTTTAAAACAAACACTTTATTCAATGTATAACAAAGCCTTGTTATTTTTGCTGATAAAATGTACCTAGATTGTCTAGTAGTAAGGAGATGTGCAGCTAACCTAAATGAACACAGTTCAAATCCACCAGCCCCTCCTTGGAAGAAAGATGGGCAATCTCCTCCCATTTATTGCCTCTGAAAGTCTACTGGAGGGTCAGCTACAGTTGAGTTAGGGCTCAGGATAGATAATGACACCACCTCTAAGATTAAAACAGCTTTTTAACTGGTCTCCTGTTTCTATTCTTGCCACTGATGTAATCTACTCAACAAAGCAGTCAAAACTGTTCTTCCTAAAAAGACCTTGTCATTATCTAAAACATTGCAGCAGTGGGCCATTAAAATCTTACTGTCCATGGGGCCCTACACATCTTCTCTCTTATCTCTCTCAGTGTGAGACTTATTGCAGTTATCTAAACAAGGTAGGCATTCTCCCATATCATTGTTTTTTTATCCGTCTACTTCTCTGCCTGGAGTATCATTCCCCAAATAATCCACATGGCTGGCTTGCTAACCTTCTCTGTTCAGTCTGTCATATTCTCTAGGCTGTCACTCCTGACCATACTATTTAAAACTGCAACTCCACCAATCCATCTCCCAGTTGGCACTCCTCCATCCCGTATCTCTGTTCTATTTTTCCTCATAGCACTTATCAGCATCTGGCAGACTATATTCATTATTTGCTTACAGAGGATCTTACCCTACAAGAGCATAAGCTCTGTGATGTGGCAGGGATTTCAGACTACTGTTTGTAATTGTCTCCAGTGCCTAGAACACAGTCTACACATGGAAGCTTTTTAAACTATTTGTTGAATGAATGAAACAGAAATATTGCCAATACAATAATGACTGCTACCTAAGGATATGTCTTATAAGCAGATATTCCAATTGATCATTCACACTCATAGACAGAACAGTAAAAAAAAATGCAACCAACAGCTTCTAAAAAAGCATTAAAAATTCTTTATTTAATTTTGTTAAAACCATTTTCACTATGTCTAAAGCAACACAGTGCAGACCTCTGATCCTGTTTTCATTTTACTAGGCTGACAGTTAAAACTCCCCAGAAGGCCTCCAATTGACCCTGGTGTCACCAATGCTCAGGACTGTTGAAGGAAAACGGAAATTGAGAAAAATGGAATATATCCATAATCTCTTCACCAATTCCAAAAGATTAATCTCTTCAAATCCCTCTGCAGGCATTTCCCCCCATCTATTTCACATTCCGTGGTTATTTTAACAAAGTCATCTTTAAAATGTAAATGACAAAAAAAGTGAAATCCTAGTTGACAAAACAATGATTACATAACTACATACACAGAAACCAATCGGGACTAAACAGTTTTGAAGGTTGAAAATGCTTTGTTGTGAAGCTGACTTAATAAAGATTCTTAAAATATAATCTGATGCGTATTTTGCCTTTTAAACTGGAAGCTATTTTTTTTTTTACTATATTGTCGATTACTTCATATTCTTCCCAGTCCCCTCAGAAAAACATGAGGAAAATTCTTATTACTGCAATCAATAAAGAATGCTATGTTCAAAGGAAGTTGTTCAGAAACCTATGACCTAAGTGTTTAGCACTGACACAGATAAAGTTGGGCGGTAGATGTCACTTGTTTCACTCATTTAAAAAAAGAGAGAGAGAGAATCGAGATGTAGATTCTATAGAGTCAAGTAGAAATAAACACTCATGAAAATGAAAATCAGTCGTTTATCTGGCCTCTTCTAGACACTGCGCACTAGTGGACCCCCCGTCACCCCCGAATCCTAGCGTCGGTTCCCAGCTCAAGCCCGCACTGCGCCATCAAATGAGTCAAGAGAAGGGACCCGTGTCCTCCAAGGAATTCTAGGCAGACCCAAAAGGTGCAGCCAACTGGAGAACCCAACTCCTTAAACTCGGGGAACAGGCGTAGGTAGTATCATCAACAGCGCTTCAGGCCAGGTCCAGAGCGTTCAAAGTCCCAGCCAGCTCCAGTGACAGTGCCAAAAGGACAGGATTCCAAAAGGTGACTCGGGCCGTCAGTCATCTCAGAACCCGGGGCGGGAGGCAGTACAGAACAGGAACAATCAAGGATGAAGTCCAAGTAAGCCACCCAACCGCTGAGCCGCGGGGACATCACCCGCCTCAGGCTCCTACAACCCTTCCCCTAGAGAGACCTGAGCACCGTGTCACGTGCAGGGGGGCTGAAACTTCGTGGCTAGGGTGGAAAGGGTGAGGGGTGGGATAAAAAGGATCGCTGCAAGGCTGGGGAGTCAATGCGCCCTGTGAGTCACTTGCAGCCTCTGCGTGCAGCTGCATGCGAAGGGGCCTGCGTGCTGTCCTTGCCCCATGCCTCCGCGCCCGTTATTAATAACCCCAAGCCGAGGCTAAGCCCCCAGCAGGCACCCTCAGCGGCGCGGCGCCCGCGAGCTCAGCAGCGCACCCTGCACGCGGAATATATAACAATGTCATTAAATCGTGGCCCGAGCGCCCGTCCGGCCAGAAAGCGGACGGCGGGGGACGCCGCCAGGAGCTGACTTTGTCTGGAGCCCGATCCTCGCCTCCCGCGCTTCTCCGCAACGTTCCCCGCGTCCCCGCGGGGACCCTCGCGCCTCCGGCTTCCCAGCCTCAGCGGCGCCGCAGCCTGGCCTTACCCGCCAGCTCGTCCGGCTCCAGTCCGCTGTCCGCGTCGATCCCGCACAGCACGAAGTAGTGCGCGAAGCGGCAGGCGGCCGGGGAGGAGCCCGAGCCCGGCCCGGGCGCCGCGCCGCTCCCGCTCATCCTGGCCGCGCTGCTTCTGCGGCCGCCGCCGCCGCTGGGAAGGCTCGCCGCCGAGGCTGCCGCCGCTTCCACTGGGGTCCCCGGGCGCCTGTCCTAGGGCAACACCGACGCACCCATGTCGGCGCGGCCGCTGCTCGTCACCGCAGCCTCTCTCCTCGCTCGGCGCCGCGGAAGCGGCCACGGGCCCGCGCTCGGTCGGTCACCGACCCTGTCCCGGGTTGGAGGAGGGGCGCACAGGGGGAGTGTCGGCGCGAGTGCGCGGCGTGAGAGGCTCGCGCCGCCGCAGCTGCGCTGGCGAGCTGTGAGCCCGACGTCTGGCGCCCGCCGGTCAGCTGAGCTGCGTTGAGGATGAGGGAGCGCAGGGCGGGAGTGGGTGCCGGGGACCGGCAAGGAGTGGGGGCTGAGGGGGAAGGCGCGTTCGCGAGGGACGGAGGCGCGCGCTCTGCTTGTGTGTGTGTGTGCGCGCGCGCCCGGTGGACCCGGAGAGAGTGCCAGGCTCTGGAGAGATTCATCCTCATCTACTGGAGCTGTGGCTCAGGGGGCGACACCACATGCATGCCTCTCAGCAGCCGCCCACCGGTTAGAGAGGTAACCAGCTGAATGGAGTTCTGTCTTCTAACGGTGAACCTACCTATCCTGATTTTAAAAATAATTTTAATTATACAGGTTTGGGGAAGCATACCAGCAACTCTTAAGAGCATTTCTCACAAAGAACTGGACCTTAAACGTCTTTAAACTATGACACGTGCAAAAGTGTCTTATTTTAAGATCCTAGACTTAAATCCTTCCCTCTACCCCGCCATCCTTTCTTTCCCCTTCTTCGTTGAGTTGGTAGCAACACAAGAGAAAAAAAACCAATACACAAAATGTTGAACATTCTAAAAGGAATACAATCGCCAACTCCCCACCCCCATTCCTATCCTTCCATAATTTAGCCTGACATTTTCCAATGGGTGTAAAGTAGCCAAGGCACTCTAATTTCCCAGCTCCTTTCCTGTTTGATAATTATCAGCTGTCTTTGCACATACACTCAGACACTGATACGGTAACAGAATTAGACCTTGAACTCTGCTCCTCACTTAGGGAAGGATTGCTGTTTATCTTGCCCTTTGCTTAAGTATTTCTGTTCTTCAGAGGTCTGGCCTATCAGTTTTTACTCATTTCAAAGTGAAAAACGAAATCCATTCCTCCTTCCAGGGAGGTGGACTGAAAGCCTCATTATTTGACTTAAGAGTATTTTTCTTGGCAGATGTGTTTTCTTGCACACTGTCATGTTCTTTACTGTAGATCTTTGTTTCCTCCTCTTTAGTATGTTGTGTATGAAGAATCAATTCTCTAGGCCGTATAGCCCTGGTGTACAAGTTGCCGTCCCCATGGTCACTTGTGGTTGCTGTGAGGCTGAACACTGTGACACGGATGTGTCAAATGCTTTAATGGTTGGTTACCCAATGCGGACTGAGAGTGGGGTGGAGCTCCCCGATTGAACAAGCGTGGAAGGAGGAGTGGCGTCCACTTCCATAATAGCTTGCCTCCAGAAACCCTATGAACTTGGAGAGAGGATGAAAGGCACCCAAGCGTCAAGGACTCTCCTTCATAGGGTCGCTATGAGTCGCCTGCAACTCAACGGCACTTAACAACAACAACATGAAGAATCAAGAAATCTGGGTGAACCAGAGCCCGGGTAATTAATTGACTGGCTTATCTCTTATCACCCTGCACTTTTCTTTCGAAACACTTGTAATGACTTCCCCCCACCACCACCACCATGACCTCCCTGACCCCTTCTGATTTCTTAGCTGGATTGTAACCCCTAGTGAATGAATCATGCTTTCTTGTTCATCGTATTTCTAGTATTGAGAACCATAAAACGATTGACCTCAAATTATGATTATTGAATTAATGAAAGATCAGTTACACAAGTAGTAACAGTTTGTTGATGCAACTAGGAAAATATACAAATTAATATTAACATTTGTGTGTTTTCCTAGTTGCATCAACAACCTGTCACTACTTGTGTAACTGGCCTTTCAGCTCCACAATCAATACTCTTGACACCAGCAGTCAGGAAATCAAAAGATTAATTGCATTGGGAAAATCTACTGTCTGACCTCGCCAGAGTACTGAGAAGCAACGGTGTCATTCTAGAGACTAAGGTGCACCTGATTCAGGCCATGGTCTTTGCAATTACTTGTTATTCATTAGAGGGCTGGACAATAGCTAAGAATGACAGAAGAAGAAAGAAGAAGAATTGATTCCTTTGAGTTGTGATGCTGGAGAAGAGTCTTGAACATACCATGGACCACCAGAAAATCAAATGCTTCTGTCTGGGAGAGGGTGAAACCAAGTTTCTCTTTGGAGGTTAGGGTTTTGAAGCTCCATCTCACATACATGGGCATGTGGCCAGGAGGGACCTTGGAGAAGGACATCATTCTCGGAAGGGTAGAGGGACAGCGCAGGAGAGGAAACCCCAGATGAGATGGATTGATACAGTAACTAGGGTAAATGGAGATAGGTGTGTTGTGAGACTGGCTTAGGACAGGGCAGGCTTCAGAGATGCTGTACATAGGGTCACTATGGGTCACAGGCGACTCAGCACATAACAACAACAAATTATAATATCTAGAGAAATCTAATAACTAGGAAATGATGCATATTTTAATATCTAATACAAACATCATAGCACATACTGATAACTAACATTGTTATGTAATTATTTCTTTTTACTTATGTAGAGAATACTGAAATGAGGAAAATAGTGGCAGTGCAGAAGAGGAAGACCCCAGAGGAGATGGATTGATACAGTAACTGGTGCAATGGTGATTGTTGTGTCAGAACTAGTGAGACTGGCTCAGGGCAGGGCGGGCTTCAAAGCTGGTGTACCTAGGGTTGCTATGGGTCTCAGGTGACTCAATGGCACATAACAACAACAGTAATAAAGTGGAAGGAGTGGTGGTTGTATAGTTTCTTTACTAGTTTTTAATTATTACTTTCCATTGTGATTTGAGTGAAAATTTATAGAATAAATGGGGGGAGGGTTTTCAGCAACTCACACACACTGACATTGATTACAATTCCCACATTGTAACAGCACTCTTCCTACTTCCTCTTTCTGTTTACTATTTCCCTTCACCTTTTTGTTTCCCTTCCTATCTTAGGAGCTTCATCTCTGCTAATGCTGCCTTTAAAATCTTATAAGGCCACAAGTTGTCCTTAGATGGCTGCTTGCACACTTTTAAGATCCCATGTCTACGTAACCATTATGCCAGTTAACTTTGATGTCCCTCAAGAATGTCGTCCTGAGCCTTGGAACAGGAGGCTGGCTACCTGGTGGAGCGGGATACCTTCAAGCAGGCACTTGGAGGAGCTAAGCCTCTCAAACCATAGAGTGAAAGAAGTAGGGCCTTTGGGCTGGGAAGGCTTCTTGGTCAAATAGGGTGTCTCTACATTTATTAGCAGAGCTAGAAAAATTTTGTTACATTTACCAAGCAGTGTCAAGGACCATGATAAGAAGCATGTCTCTAAGGGGCTGGTAGGAAAGAGTCCTGTACAACCGAGAGGAAATGAGTATGCCGTCCTTCACAGAAGAAGGAACACTTTGGCTATATGCTTCCCAGTCTTGATCTTGAATTATACAACCTGCTGATTCTGATCCCAATTTGTAACCTATTACCTCCCTATTTTTTAAAAAAAGCTTTTTTAATTGATATTTTAATAAAAGTTTACAGAAAACTTGCATTTCCATTCATTCATTGTTGTACATTCTCCTCCCTACCCCCTCCTCAATTCGCTTTTCTCTTTAAAAAGATTCTTTAATTGTTGTACAATTTTCTCCCTCCTTCCACCTCCCAGTCCACTTTGCTATGCACCTCTTATTCTGGACTATTGTCATGCAAATAATGCCTAACCATATATTTCTTTTAGACAATTCTTGCACTCACCTATTTCAATGCAGTGTTCATTATTTATCCCCCTCTTCTCTTTGTTTCCTCCCAACCCCCATCAGTCCTGTTTTATAACAGTGGCAGTATGCAATATTTGTCCTTTTGTGACTGCGATATCTCACTCAACATAATATCCTCCAGGGTCACCTATTTTGTATAATAATACTTTGAGTTCTTTGTTTTTCAGTGCTGTATAATATTCCATTGTGTGACTATACCACAGCCTCTCTGTCCATTAATTTGTTGATGGGCACTTGGGTTGCTTCCATTTCCTTTGCTGTTGTGAACAAAGCAGCAATAAATATGGGTATGCATATATCTGCCTGGGTGGCAGGTATGGTCTCTTTGGGGTATATTCCCAATAGTGGAATTGTCAAATGGTATTTCTATTTCCAACTTTTTGAGAAAGGACCATACTGCCTTGCATAGTGGTTGCACCATTTTACACTCCCACCAACAGTGAATAAGGGTTCCCATTTCTCCACAACCTCACCAGCATTTGTTGTTTGCTGCTCAATTGAACGTTGGCTATTGTTACTGGGGGGAAATGATATCTCATAGATGTTTTGATTTGCATCTCTCTTAGAGCTAGGAATTTTGAACATTTCTTCATGTGTTTATTAGCCATCTGAATGTCTTCTTTGGTAAAGTGTCTGTTCATATCCTGTGCCTATTTTGCAATTCATTTGTTTACCTTTATCTTGTTGAGATGCTGAAGTATTCTATAAATTTTAGATATAAGTCCCTTATCAGACATGTCATTACCAAATATTTCCCCCACAGTCTGTGGCTTTTCTTTTTACCCTCTTGGAGAAGTTTTTTGATGTGCATAGGGATTTGATTCTTAGAAGGTCCCATTCATCTATTTTATTCTTTCCTGGTTGTAGGTATTACTTCCCTATTAAAATCCACAATCATGAGTTTTGTCTGTGAGTTTTGAAGTCTGTGTGGCCATAGCAACAAATAGTAGAAAGTAGCAGAGAACTAGAGAATAAAATGGGAAAGATAGCTGCTGTCAGAATTAGTAAAATTTTTTAAAAAATTGACAAAATGAGCTGTCTGACTTCCACCTCGAGAGGAAGTGACCTTGAGGTAATGCTGATGGTCTTCCTTTCCTGTGCTGTCCCTCCAACCTTCCGAGCATGATGTCCTTCCCCAAGGACCAGTCTCTCCTGACAACATGCCCAAAGTCTATAAGACAGAGCTTCAAAATTCTAGCCTCCATGGAGAGACT